GAACTGGGGAGGAGGGTAGAGAAAACACTGCAACAATGAATGAATGAGAACCCAAAATCTCTGTAAATGTTCATTAAAACTAATAAAATTTAATAATAATTAAAAAAACAAGGACTTGAAGCTATGGTATTAGAGAATAATGATTTTCCCATAGACTGCAAAAAACATCAAACAAATATGTCCTGGAGAAAGTGTGATCAGAGTGCTCCATAGTCAGGATGGTGAAACGTAACCTCACATACTTTTGTCTTGCTGTTTGGAGAAGTCAATCCTTGGAGAAGGATATCATCCTTGAAGAGTCAGCAAAGGAGGGGTAGTTCCTCAACAAGATGAACTGATAGTGTCTGAATCAATCAGTTCAAGTAAATGAGATGATGAGGTTAACATAAAATAGGGCAAGATTAACACAGTCTAAAGAAAGATTCAGACCCAATTACCACAGGGTCACTATGAAATGTAGTTGACAGCACCTAACAACAAAAGCAGATAATGAGTTGCTCAACCAACCCAAAGGCTGCTACCAGCTGCTTCACACTAAGAAGATGGGTAATCTCTACCCAGGTGATTTATACTCTCTGAAAACCCACTGGAGGGTCAGCCATGAGTTGGTTCCAGCTCCATGGTAGTAATAAGTCAGTTTTGCTTAGTTTAGAACTGTATGAAGAAGAATTTCAAGTATCAAGTTCGAAGGAAGACTCATACACAACCTTATTTAAAAGTGAAGAACTCTTGAAGTACTTAGTGCAGGTCAAAGACTATCGATTTCAATCTGGATTACATCTCAATATAAAACAAAAATCTTTATCCCTAAATCAACAGGCAACATCATGACAGATGTAGAAAAGTTGACAGATGGATAAAAAATTGAAGTTGGCAATGATTTCACTTTACTGGATCTACAATCAGTACTTGTGGTGGAAGTAAGAAAGAAAACAAAAACCTGTTGAAGACATGTTGCACTGGGAAAACCTGCTATCAAGGACCTCTCTAAAATCCTAGAGTCATGGTGTTAGTTTAAAAACAATGAAAAAGGATGATCCAGAAGAATTGATGGATTTGAATTGTGGTCATGGTAAAGAGTACAGAATAGACCGTACTGCCAAAAGAACACAAATATCTATCTTGGAAGAAGTGCAAAGCCGGTGCACTTTATAGGCAAAGATGGTGAAATTTTGCCTCCTACTTTTGAGTATGTTGTTAGGAGGGGCTGTTGCTTTTACATCCTATCAAGTCAGAACCAACCCATAGCAGACCCTCCAGCAGCTCTTTGGAAACAGTAAACTGCACAGGAGGAGACTGCTCATCTTTCTTCCACAGAGCAGCTAGTGAATTCAAACCTCTTACCTTTGAGTAATGTGCACCACCCTTATAACTAAGCCACTGGCTCTCCCTCAGAGGGGCTAGCCCTTGGACAAAGACATTACGTCAGGAAAGGCAGAGGGTCAGAAAAAAAGAAGACCCACAAGGAGACGGATTGACACAATAACTCTAACAATGGGTTTGAGCACATCAAGACTGTTCTGATGATCAAGAGAAAGTACAGATGCTGATCACGATCACAGCAAATAACATACTCCTAGATGGCACATAACAACAATTGTTGTTCAATACCACTGAGTTAGAACTGACCTATGGCTGACACTCAGGCAGGTTTTCAGAGGCAGTTAATCGCATGGAAGGAGTCTGCCCAACCATTCCCTGTAGGGCAGCTCGTGGATTCAAAACGCATGCCTTTGGGAGTGCAGCAAAACTTCTTACAACTAAACCAATGATAGCAGAGTGCAATTATTCACATTAAATATGTCATGGTAACTGAAATTTGAACCATATTGTTTAGGGACTAGTATTATTTAACGGTCATAATTAAAATTTGTACACATCAATATCATGAAAAAGGAAGGTTGTCTAAAAGTATAACATATATGAAGTATACTTCATATACCATTAAATGTCATTACTAAAATTGTGATAAAAGATATGATTATTGAAACAAGAAACAATTCAAGTATGTAATTATAATCTACCTGTAAAAAGGTTCTTGACTACCTACTAGTGTACAGAAAAAGACCAGAAAGAAATAGTAACTTAACAATTATCTACTGAGTGCCATTCATGCAGTTTTAGTGGCCTAGTCTGTAGGGAGCTATGCTATTAACTCAAAGGCTGCACCTATCTGGTACTTCATATCTACCAGCAATTTACAGCCTCAGAAACCTCTAGAGAAATGAGCCAAGAGTTGGTTCCAAAATGGCAATATATGAGTATCAGGAGTTAGGAACTTTTACTTCTCTGTAGGAAAAGTAGGCTAACATCTCTCATCTTCAAAAAACTTCCAATCTAGAAAAGGCAATATAAGAACAGACAAGATAAAATCAACTACACAGCACATCAAGGTGGTTTATTATCATTAATTGCCATCAAGCTGATTCTTATTCAAGGTGAATTCATATAATATAGAGCAGAATTGCACTAGTGGGTGTTCACAGTTATAATCTTAATAGTAAATTAAATCCTCTCTTCTGCAAATTTCTGGGAAGGCTGAAACTGACAATTTTTAATTTAACAGTCACAAAGCAAAGTGTTTGTACCACCAAAAGCACTCTGTCCATGAGGGTAACAAATCAATTTTAACTCACAGCAAACCTCTAATAAATGTTGAAGATTGTAAATCTTAGCTGACAGATTCAAGCCACTGACTTTTCAGTAAGCGGCTAAACTATCCTACTGAAGCTATATGGTGATAAATGGTTTAAAGAAACACAAAGAGCGAGCTCTGGTAATTTAGAGTTACCATGCTGCTGTTGTTGTAAGGTGCCACTGAGTCAATATTAACTCTTAATGATCCCATATGACAGAGAACTGAGTTTTCCAGGCTATATGAAAGCTCTCCAACTCATGGTATTTTCAATTGCATCCAATGCATTTGCAAGTGGGATAATGAATAAGGAAGAAAGAAGAAGAATCAGTTATCTGTGAATAACTGTGTTAGGGAAGACTATTCAATATCCTGTGCACAGACTGCCAAAAGAAAAAACAAGTCGGTCATGCAGGTTGTGCAACCAGGATACTCCTTAAAAGCAAGAATGATCAAAGTTCATTTTATAGACTTCATTCGGGAATGTTATCAGACGGTTCAGCCCTTGGAAAAAGATGTCATAGTAGGAAAAGTAGAGGGTCAGAGAAAGAGGAGCCCGTGAGATGGACTGATACAATGATTTTACCAATATGCTTGAGCATATGCATTATGACCATCACACTACTGATAGTGAGGATGGTGGTGGATAGAGAATGGCGCAGATCTGTTGAAACTAGTTGTGTTGTTGTTGATTGCCTTCAAGTCGAGCACGACTTATAGCAACCCTATGAACAAAAGACCTGTAGCCTTTCTATAACTATTGACATTTATCAAAGTTCATAGAGTTTCCAGAGGCATGTTATTTAGGACGTGGATGCCACTCTATTTGGTATTTATAAGCTTTTCTGATAAATGTTATATTGAAATTTAAATAATGAATGAAGTCTAAATAAAACCACTGAAGATTCAGCAAGTTGTAACAACTGTCAAGTTATGACCAGAACAGCTGATCTGTCAAAGACTATATATTCAATTACATTGTGATACCTTCTTTAATCTCAAAGTTTGTACCTCAAAAGGTCAGTAGTATTCGCTTAACTTATTCAGTTGATAGGCAGAGATTATAAGCAAAGTTCACAAAATAATTAAAAACTTTATAAATACTGCATACATGTTAATGAAAATGACATTAAGTCCTATAAAATATTCACACTACATTAAGCAGTAAAGTTTACTATCCTTTACAGATCTGTTGATCTATTATGATTCTGGTAACCCAGGTAAGAATATACACTTAGGTCACTAGAACAAACAGCAATTGCTTTTCTAAGTCTTGCTTAAACTTTAAAGCGTTAAACTACAAACTAATCTCTTTAGTTTAATGTGAATTACATGAAAATTATTCTTACCTTTACACCTTGAATGAGGCCATTCATGAGGAAAGTGTGCTGAGGAAATGTTTCATGTAGAACCTACAAGAAAAAAACAATTACTAAGAAGAAAATATTTAGGCTTCTACTAATGGAAGATTAGGTAAAAGATAAATTCTGTAATAAAAAAGTAAGAAAACGTAAGTGAAGCATGAAAAGAATTCTAAACATATGAAAAGTTTTAAAGGCAAAAATCCAAAGAGATGGGCGGAGTACTGAAGGATGTTTTTTAAGCAAAAGTAAGTTGCTGATTTACTATCTCTCTCAATCACAACAACTTCAAATTAATACTCGTTTCTAGAAACTCAGCTAAAAACCTTCAACCCAGTCTTTTGTTATCTAATACACTGATGACAGAAGTATAGAAAATGGAAAATTTTCATTTTCTTTTTTTAGATTATAGTGATTCCAGACTGAGTTTCTCCAGTGACCTCACAGGGGAAAAAAACCAACAAAACATACAATCACTATTAAAAAGAGAGGCCTCCAATTGCCCCTATGTATACTTTTCCCCCAATATAAGGACTAAAACACAATCAAAGATAATTCGGTTATGAGAGAAAGTAAGACAATATAAGTCTCTGACCTTCTTCAGTAGATCAGGCAATAGTTGTTGTACCACTGATTCGTACTGACCCTATGAACTACTAATTTGAACCCTGTCTACCCTATGCCCCTCATCCTCACTGATTAAGCCCACAGCTGCACCCACTGTGTGTCAATCCATCTCACTGAGGGTCTTCCACTTTCATCCACCCTCCATATTTCCAAACACAATGCCTTTTCCCAATGAGTAGCCCCTGCAAACAACTTGCACAAATATGTGACATAAAGCTTTGTCATCTTTGCCTCAAAGGAAGACCCTGGTTTCAGTTTCTCTATACTTGTTTATTCTCTTGGCAGTCAGTTCAGTACTCTTCTCCAACACCAAAACTCATAAGCATCAATTTTTCTTTTGTCATCTTTATTCACTGTCCAGCTCTCAGATGTATAGCACGTGATCGGAAAGGTCATGGCCTAAATTGGGTACACTTCAGTTGGTTGGTTGTTGCTTTGTTTTTTCTTAAATTGACATCATTGCTCCTTAGTATTGTGAAGAGATCTTTGACAGTGGATTTACCCAATGCAATAATATATCTTCCTGTTTCTCGACTGCTGGTATCAAGTCCAAGCAAGATGAAATCATTGACCACTTCAGTCTCTTGTCCATCTATAATGATGTTGCCTAGTGGTCTAATGGTAAGAATTTTTGTCTTCCTTATGTTGAGATATAATCCATATTATAAAGGTTGTAGTCTCTGATCTTTTGTAACAAGCATTTCAAGTCCTCTTCAATTTCAGCAAGCAAGGTTACACCATCTGCATAATGCAAGCTGATGAGTCTTTCTTCAATCCTGACGCTATGACCTTCATTAAATTCAGCTTATTAACGATTTGCTTGGCATACAGATCGAGTAAGTTCAGAGAAAGGATTTGATGCACATCTTTCCTGATTTTAAACCAAGCAGTGTTCTGTTGCTCTATTCAAACAACAGCTTCTATTTTTTTCTGATTTATGACGTTTGAATTCACTGTTTTTCACAAAAGATCCTTCCCATTTCTTTCATCCCACCACCATCGAATTGTGCAACCCTATGATTAACACCCTATGCTCCCACCCATCTACCCCATTCTATTTACACCCTCACCCCTGGCCTTGGATTCTCATACTCATTCGACAATAATGGTTTTATACAGTATTTGTTCAATCAGCATAATGCTCTCCAGTCCTTCCCAAGTTAGGTAGTAATTTACAAAATCATTTCTTCTGTGTGCTGCATAGTATTCCACTGTATGAATATACCACAACTTCTCAATACATTCGTTTGTGGTTGGACATCTGGGCTGCTTTCATGTTCTTTCAATGGTGAATAATGCTGCTATGGACACTGGTATAAAAATTTCAGTTTGAGCCTCAGTTCTCATTTTCTTGGGATATATCCCAAGCAATGGAATAGCTGGGTCATACGGAATTTCTATGTTCAGCTTTTTGAAGAAGCACCAAACTTGCCATCCAGAGTTATTTTACCATTGTACAACCCCACCAATGTAAAAGAGTTCCTATTGCATCACATCCTCTCCAACATTTATTACTTGCCATCCTGTTAAACTTTGCCTCTGCTACTGGAGTGATATGGTATCTCATTGTGGTTTTGATTTGCATCTCTTCTATTGCCAGTGATTTGGAGCATTTCAAGTTTCTGCTGGCCATCTGAATATATTCTGCTGTGAAAATTCATTCCATGTCTTTTGCCCATTTTGTGATTGGGTTACCAGTCTTATTTTTGTGAAGGCCCATGAGTATTCTATAAACTTGCACTATGAGACTCTTCAGACAACAGCTTCTTGGTCCAGATATTGGTTCCACATGAGCACAATTAACTGTTCTGCAATTCCTATTCTTTTCAATGTTAACTATAGTTTGTTACAATCCACAATGTCAAAAACCTTGGCATAGCTAATAAAACATAAAAAAAATCCTTCTGGAATTGTGTGCTCTTGGCCAAGATCTGTCTGACATCAACTATGATATCCCTGGTGCCACGGTCTCTTCTAAATCCAGCTTGAATTACTGGCAGTTCTCTGTCGACATATTATTCCAGCTGTTTTCAGATAATCTTCGGCAAGATCTTTTTTGCATGTGATATTAAATCCAGAGCTATAGAGCAGAACATGACCCCTCCACTACCTTGGCATCAGCTGGAACTAAGAGTCACAGAGGGCCTCCACGTGCCTTGATCTATAAGTGCTTGCTTATATTTATGATTTACTCATGCGGCACATCACTTACCTGTCAGTTTGTAGTATTGGGGAATGATGTGCATGTTCCTTATTTTATGCTTAAGAATGAATATACTTGTATATCATTCAGTAAAACACCTGTCTGCCAGTGTGCTGTACTGGGGTGACTTGACAGACTAGGACACAGGACTGGTCATCCAACAGGCCTTCAAAAATCCTATTGATACTAGAGAAGCATGGTTAGGTAGAGTATTGGAGGGTGAGCCCAGAATGAAAGTTGTTCCAAATGAGAAACAGCTGCAAACATCCATTAATAACAAGAACACAGAATGTATAAAGTATGAATCCAGGAAAGTTGAAGTTTGTAAAAAATTAAATGGAATGCATAAAGATTGATATTCTAGGCATTTAGTGAGCTGAGACTAGTTAGTATTGACCACTAACAGACTAGATAAGAGAGACTTCTATTATAATAAAAAGTCTTTACTAGGTTTTTACATGGAAAGAATAGTCCCCAGGGAAGAAAGGGGGAAAGACAGCATCATCACTAACTAGAAGGTTGGTGGTGCTGTTGTTTTATACCATCGGGTCAGAACCAACCCATTCATTACTGACCCTCTGGTGGGTTTTCAGAGGCAGTTAATCACACTAGAGTAGACAGCCCATCTTTCTCCTGCAGAGCAGCTGACAGATTTGAACCACGTACATTCAGTATTGCAGCATAGCTTCTTAACTGTAGGCCACCAGAGCTCCCAGTTTGAAGATAGACATACATTAACTAGAGCACTCAAGAAAAAGGAGAAGTGAAGAATTCAAGAAGGAAGTTACTGGCAAGTACAGAAGAATTTAAGGCAACAGATTTTAAGTCCTATTAACTCAAGCCTACAAAAACAGTAATAATCATAATCTATGAACAGATATTAAAAAAGGCAGATAAGCTAAACAAGTGTGGGACACTGAATGGGACCATATATATATATTCACTAGATAACTTATTGCTATACATGCATTTAAAATGTTTTCAGTATTTTCAAGGATATCCTATAGCATGCACAGGACAACATTATCTAACCTAAACACTCTTGACAGAATGAGTCGCTGGGTTTGAGGGCTCCAGACTGTAGACTCAGGATATCAAAGTCAATTAACACAGTTTTACAAAGACAGTGCTCTACATCCTGCTTCATGGACTAAAGACTGGGCCTAAAAATTGTGAGTAGTCATCTAAGTTGTAATTATTGTCCTTTTGCTCCAGAACAAAGAAGAATAAAAAAAGCCAAAGACTTATAAAAACAAATAATAGTAAGGGTTAAAGGATGAGGATAACCTTAGCTTCTAAGGCCCTGAGACCAGAAGAACTAGAATTCTCTGAAAAGAAACACACTTGTTTCTGGACAAATAGGAGAAAAATGACCCAAAATCATAAAAAGATCACATTTTATGGTCAGATAGAGTGGAGCCCATGAGACTATGGCCTGTAGCTGTCCTTTGAATGTGTAACTGAGTCTACCTTTGGACCTCAATTTTCACCTAAAGTATAGACTGGTATATAACATGAGCAATCACCCCAGAAAACAATCACCAATCAAATGGGGAGCCATTTGTTCAACTTCACATTCTAGAAAAACAGGTATGAAAAACTGTAAACAAAAAATACAGTAGGTGGAAGAGTAATGATTTTACCTAGCGAGGATTACGATCAATGTCAAAATCAAAATGTGTACAAACTGTTGAATGGGAAACCACTTTGCAAATTTCTATCCAGATAGGAATAAATCAGAAATATACAAACTGTTGTAGTCTAGTCCATGGCTATATGAGATAGGCAACAAATCTCTAATAAAATGACCATCAAGTATAAAGTGAACTGCTCTACACTATATTCTAATTAATTGAGTGATGTTATCAGAATGACAAAATATTTATACACAACACTACTATATGTCAAGAACATTTCTTCCACCTTAGTGCAAACAGGACAGAATATGATCCACTGATTATACTAAAGGACAAGTAAGAAAAAAAGAGCTCATGCAAACAGATGAATCATCATTTTAATAGTTATACTATGATTCTCTGACAGCCATTTTAGTCCTGTCTTCTTCCTCTGTCTTTGTAATGACCTTCTGCATTCTTACTGGATGATGTTCTTGATATATTCCCATAACTCATCTGGTCTTCACTCATTAGTGTTCAAGGACTCAAACCTGCTCCTGAGTTGGTTCTGAAATTCAGGTGGGATAGACTCAAGGTCTTATTTTGGTTCCTGTGGGCTTGATTTCACTTTCCTTAGCTTCAGCTTAAACTTGCATATGAGTAGCCAGTGACCTGTTCTGCAATCAGCACCTGGCCTAGTTTTCACAGCGGATACTGAGCTTCTTCACTGGTTCTTTCCACAGATGTAATCTATCTGATTCCTATGGATCCCATCAGGTGAAATCCATGTGTAGAGCCTGCATTTATGTTTCTTGTAAAATGTACATTTCTGTCACCAAGTACATGCTTTCCAACTACTGATCCTTCTTCTCTGTTCCCAATTTTTGCATTCCAGTCACTCATTATTATTAATGCATCTTGAATGCATGGTCAATCGATCCCTGATTGTAAAAGTTGGTAGAAATAATCTATTTCCTCTTCTTTGCCTCTAGTTGTTGGTGCATATATTTGAAATATAGTGGTATTCACTGGACTTCCTTGTATGCAGATGGATATTATCCTGTCACTGACAATATCATATTTCAAGATGCATCTAGAAATGACTTTTTAACTATGAAAGCAACCCCATTTTCCTCACTTTTTCATCATAGTTAGATCAAATGTCTCATGCTAGGCCATCTCACCTCACCAATACCTTACATGTCGATATTTATGCGTTCCATTTCTCCCTTAACAATATCTAATTTTCCTACATTCATAGTTCTCACAGTCCATGTTCCAACCACTAGTGTCTGCTTACAAGTGTTCCTCTTCCTTAGTATTTCCATACTTGAAAGCTCCACCTCTATTGCCCGATCTACTAGTCTGTGTTCTACTGTACATAGGGTTTTTGAAGGTCTGCTATTTCAGAAGGGGATGGCCCATTCTTCGTCCTAGTCTGTCTTAATCTGAATGCTCAGATTTAGAAAAGTATCTGACAGACGAGCATTTCACAGAACAATGAGGATGAGAGATCTTTCTCAATTATAGAAAGTCAAGAAGCCAAAGCAGAAGGAAGAAATCAAGACATCAAGGAGTTAAACAGGAGATTACAAAAGGCTGTGTGACAAGACAAAGTAAAGTATTATAGTGAAATGTGCAAAGAGCTGGAGTCAGAAAATCAAAGGGGCCAAACTCACTTAGCATTTCTTAAACTCAAGGAACTTAAGAAATTCAAACCTCAGGTTGCAATACCTAAGGATGTTTTGGGCAGAATATTAAATGATCCTGCAGGTATTAAAAGAAGATGGAAAGAGTATACAGAGTCATTATACCAAAAGGAATTGGCAGACACTGAAGAATTTAATGAAAACAACATATGAGCATAAGCCTATGGTGATAAAGGAAGAAATTAGGACTTCTTTGAAGGAACTGGCTAAGAATAAGGCCCCAGAAATTGATGGTATACCAAATGACATATTTAACAGATGCTTCCCTAGATGTGCTCACCAAGTTGTGCCAAGAAATCTGGAGAAAAACCACTTGGCCAACTGACTGGAAGAGATCTATATTTGTTCTCATTCCAAAGAAAGTTGACCCAACAGAGTGTGGAAATTATCGAACAATATCATTAATATCACATGCAAGCAAGATTCTGCTGAAGATTATCCTAAAACAACTGGAACAGCACATCAACAGAGAACTACCAGAAGTGAAGGCTGGGTTTAGACGGGGTCATGGTACTAGGGATATTGTAGGTAATGTTAGATGGATCTTGGCTGAAAACAAGGAGTACCAAAAGAATGTCTGTGTTTTATTAATTGTGCAAAGGTATTCGATTGTGTGGATCATAACAAACTCTGGCTAACTCTGACAAGAATGGGAATCCCAGAACACTTGATTGTGCTAATGTGAAACCCCTAATTGGACCTGTTGTCAGAACAAAGAAAGGAAACACTGCATGGTTCAAAACTGGGAAGGGTGTACTCCAGGCATGTTTCCTAGCTCAATACCTTTTCAATCTTTATGCAGAACAGATTATCCAGGAACCTGGGCTGTGTAAGGAGGAATGTAGCATCAAGATTGTCATCTGTGTTATGCAGATGACACAACCCTGCTTGCTGAAACTGAAGAGGACCTGAAGCGCTTGTTGAGGAAGGTCAGAGACTGCAGTCTTCAGTATGGATTGAGGCTCAATATCAAGAAAACAAATATTCTTAATGCTGGGCCAACTGGCAGCATCATGACGGGTGAAGAGATTGAGATTGTTCAGTTTTGGTTTGCTTTGCTCCAAAGTCAACACTCTTGGCACCAGCAGCCAGGAAATTAAAACACTTATTGTGGTGGGAAAGTCTACAGTTAGACACTTCTCTAAAGTACTGAAGTACAATGATGTCAGTCTGGAGACTAAGGTGCACCTGACACATGCCATGGTCTTTGCAATCACTTGCTATGCATCCAAGAGCTGGACAACGACTTAGGGATGATAGGAGAATTGATGCCTTTGAGCTGTGGTGTTGGAGAGGAGTATAGAATATACCATGGACTGCTAAGAAAACGAACAAGCTTGTCCTGGAGAGGGTGAAGCTGGGCAGCTCCTTGGAGGCAAGGATTCTGAAGCTTCATCTGACATACTTTGGACATGCTGCAAGGAGGGACAGGTCCCTGGAGAAAGATGTCATTCCTGAGATGGTGGAGAGACAGCACAGGAGAGGAAGACCCTCGATGAGATGGACTGATTCAATGACTGGGGGTAATGAGGGTAGGTGTGTCGGAGATGGTCAGATTGGCACTGTATAAGACAGAATTTAAGGCTGTTGTACATAGGTTCACTATGAGTCGCAGATGACTTGACGGCAAATAACAACAACATCAACAACATACTATGATATCTTTTTCTCCATACCTATTCAATCTGTATTATCAAGCAAATCATTCCAAGAACCTGGACTTTTATGAAAAGAATGTGGCAACATCACAGATGACAAAACCTTCCTTGTAGAAAGTGAGGAGGTATTGAGGTGCTGGCTGCAGAAGATCAAAGCCTACATTGTTCCATACAGATTAGTTCACAATAAGATGACAAAATCCCTCATCACTCGGTGAAAGACAGATGGAGAAAAGACTGAAATTGTCAAAGATTTCATTTTACTTGGATCCAAAATCAACATCCTTGGAATCAGTAGTCAAAAAATCAAAACGGGAAAAGGGGGGAGGGACTGAGGAAGATGGCGGAGGTGGAGAGCACAGTGTGAAGAGCCAGAGGGATAGCAGCCTGCGTAG